TAATAATTACACAGTTTGTGAAAAAAAAAAAAAAAAATTCCCAGAGAAGTCAGATCTGAAAACTAAAAATGATAAAAAGTAAGGCCCGAAAGGCGCGCATTTAACCAATGTGTGACATGTACATATGTACTGCTTTCTTTTGTGTAAATGTACTGTCTATAGATATTTCGATGTAACAGAAACGTATTTTGAAGTGAGATTTGATCTTCAATTTATACGGATACCTACTGTTCACTTCATTCTTTAACTTCAACGAGATATCTAACTCGACACTTTTATGCAGTGCACTTTAACATTTGCAAAAAGTCCTCTTTCTCTATTGGTAATTTACTGCTGTTAGAAAAAAAAACATTTTTTTCTCAAAGAAACATTTTCTGGAAAAAATGAACGCTCAAAAATCACTCCACGAAAAAGAATCTTTTAAAAAAAAAAAACATACCCTAATAGGATGAACATCATTTGTACTGGGACTGCCAACAATAGCATCAAAAAATGTATATGGTGCCATCGCTAAGTCCACATATTTTTGCGCTTCTTCGGACCAGTTATCGCCATCTATCGGTTGAATACCCTCAATTCGGCATCGTGCACCTTGTCGAGGAGTATAGATCACTTGCTAAAGTTAGCTAATTAGTGGCGTGTTTCAAGGTTTCTGATTCAATCACGCGTTTCTGCATACAATAAGATCGCTAACAGTACGAATGTTTATTGCTTCACAGTTTGCTAGCTGCACTTTTGTTAGGAATATAATTGTTAGTTCTTTTTTTCTATGTGCGGGGAAAAAGCCATCGGCAAAACCAGTAGTAATGCACTGTGGAGCCCCGCAAAATTTCAGCTTTGCATATTTTACTGTCGTGCGAAGAAGATAACACCTTTACAAATGGAAATCTGGCGTGTCCACATATGTTAGGTTTGTCAGCTCACAAATGAACAGCAAAATCCTCAAAAAATTGATCTGATTCCTGAGTTCGAGTGCTGCTAATAATCTCTTTTGTCGCGTGATTTGGATTCTTTGGACCGCACGGGCACAGCGAATATCCTCGCAAAATTTCAGCTTTCCAGTCTGCCTGCCCGGTTCTCAAAATTATTTGCCTATTATTTTCGACTACGATGGCGTGAAAATTCATTTTGCATTTGGGAACCCAGCCAAGTGCCAAAATCTCCGCTTAATAACTTTGGTAGGACTGGAAATCGAAATACACAAACACATATACACAAATCTCTACAATATGGTTTCTATATCAATGAATATAGAAAAGCATAAAATGCAAAATATTATAATGAATAGCATTTGGGACAAAAAAGAAATGCCAAAAAAAAATGTCAAAACTGTTTCTACGGTTTCACTAAAAATGCTCGCTATACCAAGCCACAGTCGGGATGCTGTAGTTTTTGATGAAAAAGCACAGAAGGGTATTTTAAAACAACAGTTTACTGCAACTCACACACACAGTAACTCAGAGC